TGCTGCTCCGAGCCTGGGAGATGGGGTAGATAGCTTATCTGAAAGAAGAAATGTCAGCAGAAGAATAGGCCCAGGCTGGCTGTTTCGCATGTCTGTGTCCCAGAGAATGGGATGGGCAGGCCGAAAAAAAGAAAAAAATAATCAAGGTTTTCCCCTCCTCCAGCCCAAATCTGGCAGCTTGGCACCCGGGGTGGGTGACCTCGGTCTAGCCCCTCCGGACCAGCTCTCACAAGGCATTTGGGTGCCTGAAAAAATAAGCTACACCCATCAAATCCTCCAGACTGCCTCCTAGTAAGATGCTCCAGGAGCAGCAGGACCGGGGCTGGCTGCCAAGCAAGCCCAGATCCACAGGGGACGGCAAGGCAGGGACCCCGCCGACACAGGCACGGGCACCGTGCCTGGGTGCCCCAGCAAGAGCAGAGCTGGTGGCCGATGGCAGCCAGGGTCAGACACACCCACAGGGACGCAGCAGGGCTGAGACCCAGCGGGCTCTGAGCCTAAACACAGCCCCGGGACTGTGGGCAGGGTGCGTGGGTTGGGGGGTCCAGGTGGGGCCAGTTGGGCCGTCGTCAGCCCCAGGCTCCCGTGGGCCCCTGGCCATTGGCCACCAAAGTGTTTGGGTGAGATTTTGGGGGGGAGGAGCGAGGGACTGGCAGCAGGTCCAGCTGTTGCTCTCCTGCCCCGCACCGCTCCCCCAGTTACGAGCTGGCTGTAAAGCAAAACCGTCCCGGCACAGGTCTTGCGCAGGTGGGGTTGGCCTGTCCCTGAGGAGGCCCACATCCCGCCTCGGGGTCGCTGGAAGCAGGGTTTCTGCGAGCCGCCCCGGCTTTGAGTATGCTGCACCACGGCAAACGTTAGCCCCACTCAAAAAAGAGTTAAAACCCCTGAAAAGGTGACTTTTATAAGCCCAGGACAAGCTGCTTAAAACCAGCCCCTCCAAAACAGGGCCATTCCTCCAGGAGGAAGAGTTGGGGTTTGCTTCTCCGGGCCCTTAATGAGCTGCTGTGATTAGACAGAGACAATAGGCATTGTCTGCAGAGTAAGGGCTCTGCCGGGACGCCAGGAGAAATCCTGTTTGCCAGACTGGGGTAGGAAGGCGCTGGGATGCCGGCAGCCTTCTCAACCCGGAGAGCACTCGATGCGCTGAGGACGGGTCTTGGTCACCTTTCCATGGTGTCTTAGCAGCTTGCTCCACGGTCACCTGAAGGATGGGGATGCCCCTCCCAAAAATGCTGCACACCCCAAATGTTGGGTTAAGGCTTTTGGCTACCCATGAGGTTCCTCTCGGGCTGGCATTGTCCCTCCGGGCTGCAGGAGGCACTGGTATCCCCAAACTGGTGATGAGGGAGGGTCCCCAGGAACCTCCTTTCTTCTTTCCTAGGTGAGGACGCTATTCGTCAGCGGGTTGCCTCTGGACATCAAGCCCCGGGAACTTTACCTGCTCTTCAGGCCCTTTAAGGTACCATGGAAGAGAGGGGGGCGGGAAGGGCGGGGCTGGCCCGCTGCCCCATCCTCATGGCCCCACCAACCTTGGTGGGAGCTGGGAGCCCACTGGTTTCCCCCCAAAAAAGTCTGATTTGGTCATTTTATTCCCAGAAACATTTTTCTGTGCCTTTTTTCCCCAGTAAACCATAGGAGAATGGCGTCGGGTGCTTGAACTGCACGTTGACCTGCACCCCGTGTAGGAGCGGCAGAGCGTTGGCTGCAGACCGCTCCAGCCTCTTCACCCTGCCAGAGCTGTAGCTCAGACAGCGGCTCTTTTCAAACAGGAAGGATAATATTATCAGGCATCCAGCATCCCTACAAAACTCCAGTGGCAGCGAGTCCTCGTGCCTGTGCTGAGCCTTGGCAAGCTCTGCCCGGCCCCGTGCCCACCCGATGCCCCCCAGCTGTGGGGCTGCCGAGTGATGGGTGCAGGAGGTTTCCCTCTCAAAGAGGCAGCTGAATCTTGGGGATCTCCATCAAACACCCTTTTTTATTCTTTTCTTGCAGGGATACGAAGGGTCTCTTATCAAACTCACCTCCAAGCAGGTAGGAGCCGCTCAAAATGGGGTGAGCATCCCATGCCGTGTTCCCACCCTTCCCCGGGGCGGGGGGTACTCCCTCTGCTGCGCCAGCCTGACTGATGGTGCCTCCTCTCCTCCCTCTGCAGCCCGTGGGCTTTGTCAGCTTCGACAGCCGCTCCGAGGCGGAGGCAGCGAAGAACGCGCTGAACGTGAGTGCGCCTGGCTACTACATTTTTTCAGGACTTATTCCCCCTCGTCTCCCCATCCCTGGATACTCTCCGAATTTCTCTGTCCCGGGGACGTGCATCTCCCCTGAACGTGAGTGCGCCTGGCTACTACATTTTTTCAGGACTTATTCCCCCTCGTCTCCCCATCCCTGGATACTCTCCGAATTTCTCTGTCCCGGGGACGTGCATCTCCCACGCCGGCGGGCCCCACCACATCCCCATCCCTCCAGCTGATCCCCATTGGCTGCTTCTCATCTGCGTCCTCCCTCCTGGGGAGCTGCACCCCTCTCGCCTTTCCCAGGGCCCTCCGGGAAGGCTTGAACCCTAAAGATTAGAGCCTTAGATAAGAGTCAGCGAGAGTCGCCTTTCCCAGCCTCTCCTGTTTCTTCAGTGGGAAAAATCCCAGCTAAAGCTGCAAAAGAAGCAGCAAATTTTGCTTTCCTTTAGCAGCTCCCTCCTACCTCTGCGGAGGAGAGTCACGGGGAGAAACACGTGGAGCCAGTTCTCCAATTCCTCCCTGGGTTTTGGTTTGGATTTTTTTTCCCCCTTGTCTTCAGTTTCAATGTAAAACTTTTTTTTTTTTGGCTCCACTAATCCCTCTGGATAAGAGCTCGGCTGTGCGGGATGCCGACTGCCAAATATGGTGCCGATGCTAAAGATGCCGGAGGAATGCGAGCCGCCTCGAGGCCCTGCAAATTAGCTCATTTCAAGGCTGGAAGTTAGGGGGAGAAAAAAAAAAAATAAAAAATTGGGAGTCATTTTTGCTCC